TCTTGTAGACCAGGCTGGCCTCAAACTCACAGAGATCTGCCTGCCTCTGCCTCCCGAGTGCTGGGATTAAAGCCGTGCGCCACCACCGCCTGGTTTATGATTGATGGTTTGAATAAGGCTCATATATTTGAATGTTTGGTACCCAGTTGGTGGAACAGTTTGGGAAGGATTAGGAAGTGTGGCCTTGTTGGAAAAGGTGTGTCACTGGGGCTGGGCTTTGAGGTTTTAAAAGGCTGCTCTAGGTCCAGTGTTTTTCTCTCTACTCCTGCTTGTGAATCAGGTGTGAGCTCTTAGCTACTACTCCAGGATCATGTCTCTCTGACTGGTACCATGCTCCCTGCCATGATGATGGGCTCACCCTCTGAAACTGTAAACAAACCTCTAATTAGATGCTTTCTTATGTAAGTGCCTTGGTCATGGTGTCTCTTCATAGACAATGATCTAAAGCAAAGAGCCCCAGATTGCTTACAAATTCCCTGCTCAGACCAATAACAGCACCGGGAGATCACTGCACATACCGGTAAGAGCACCTTGCCTGACAAGAAAGCCTACATAATGATGAGAACATCTGCAATCAGGAGCCAGGAGAAACCTGACAAGGTCAGCACATGATAAAACGTCTTCTGGCATCTCTGGGCCCGAGACTACAAACACAGATAAAACTTATGTCTTTCCTCTGCCTCCAAAACCCCAAGCCCCTGTCCCTTGGCAATCTCCACTTCTGCAGTAAGGGCAGTGTGCTTCTATGGAGGCTGGGCTCCTCTTTCTTTTGTGTTCACATCAATCCTGACCTAACATCCACCTCCCCTTTTTTTAGATAGGGGCTCACTGACCAGCTTGGAGCCCACAGATACCCAACTGCCTCTGCCTCCCAGGTAAACTGATGAAGCATGCACCACCGACCACATCTTGAGGTTCTGCTTTCTTCTTGCAGTACTGGGTACCAACCCAGGACCTTACAAGCACTCTACCACTGAGCCATACCCCAGTCCCTCACTGGGCATGTCTAGGCAAGGGCTCTACCAATGAACCACACCCAGCCCCTTACTGGGGGATTCTAGGCAGGGGCTCTACCACTGAGCCACATCCTAGCCCCTCACTGGGCAAGTCTAGGCAGGGGCTCTACAGTTGAGTCACACCCCAAACCTGGCTGCTAGGATTAAATGAGGAACAAGCTTTATCCTCTAAGGGTGTCCCCAACACCAGGCAGGTTGCTCACTGATATCCATCGCTCTCATTTTAGTATGTCATAGCTGTTTGAGTCTAGATCCCACAGGTCTGCTGGGGTGTAGGGCCTCCCATGCTCTGTGAGCCTCTGAAAAG